TAAAAGTCCACTCAATTTCACATCAACAGAAGCTTTCTTAAGGTTGGTTTACACTATATCAAAGTTTCTGTGATCACAGTAGGAATTTTGCATGGGTAAATTCTAAGTTTTGAAGGATTTGATGTTTGTGATGTTACTCTGAGTGTATATCCACACCGCGGGCGTGCTTGAAAAATATGCCCGGCCACGGTGGGATCGAACCTACGACCTTTGGAATACTAGCCCAATGCTCTGCCAACTGAGCTACGCGGTCAGGACGGTTCGAGTAAGTGATATTTCGGAACAGAATCTAGTTCCTTCGACTATAGGTAGTTCCTTCGACTAGGTCGGTTCCCTCACATATTTCTTAATTAAGGCCTTTTTACATTTGCAATTTTTGCTTCGATTTTTAGTGCGATATTTTCTCCTTCTGATGGATGTGAACGAGCAGATGAGTACGGAATGTTCTGAGTGCATGTTCCCTCAACCACAGATGAGGTAATACAGATGTGAATCTCCTGTGAAAATGTGTCACACGGATTAAATAAACTTTAAAATTGTATTAATTCACTATTTTATTAAATTTTGATAATGCAGAGGAATAAAACTATACATATTATAGAAGTATTCATGTTTTTTTTATGCGAGAGTTATGTTTTGAGGCATTTATATCATTCGGTGTTTTGTTATTTATACACAAGCGTCTGAAATTCCCAGCAAGTGTATTTCACGATTTTAATAAGAAGTAGATAGGGAAAAAAACAAACTTTTGCTAAATAAAATGTTATATTAACACTTTTAATAAAAAGAAATCAATAAAAGTGATCGCTTACCGTTACTCTTGAAGAATTAATTCCAAAAATAGCCGTCGGTAGCGTAGATTTTTAAAAAAACAATTTTTCGTCTTTCGAACGGCGTTTTCCTATCTCTTTCCTTATTAAATTTCAGAACGACACTTGCCAGCGCTCGCCGGAAGTGAGAATTCCGTGTGACACAAAACAATCAGCAATTTCACAGGAGATTCACATCTGTACTTACCTCATCTGTGCCTCAACTGTACGTTCATAACTCATCTACTCGTTCACATCCATCAGAAGAGGAAAATCGCACCTAAATCGTAGCAAAAATTGCAAGTGTAAACGGGCCTTTACAAATCCTTCAAAACTTAGAATTTATCTACGCAAAATTCCTACTGTGATCACAGAAACTTTGATAGTGTATAAACCACCACCAACCTTTGTGTGTTCTAAAGATCAAAACTTACTTGAGTAAAGAACAATTCTCTTCCGAGATGATTAGCAAGCCGCCTCAGGCGTGTGTTGTGTGTTGTGCAAGAGCCACGAGTACATTAATGAAACTGACCCTGAATTGTGGGTCTATATAACACTATTGAAACAGTGAATAATTCATTGAAATACTCCGAGGAAAAACAGCCTTCTTTTCACTTCAAAAGCCATTAATCTTCTTGTAAAAGCATATTTTTACAACACCCATGTATATATAGAAAGAACAGATGCATCCCAAGTGCGTCTCATTTACAGCGTAACACTAATGAACAATTTCCAAAAGTTATTGCTATTGTTCTCCCCCAGATGTGGGAGATGAAAATGTTAAACAATTGTGCATTAAGACTGTTTGTGATTGTAGTCGTGCATTAAGCTTGAAAGGAAATGATATTTTTGTCTGGAGGAGGAAATTGGCAAATGCGCGTTAAAAGTCGTTAGTGGCTGCTACGCCCATGCATATTTTGATTGCTTTCAAGTTGGCAGCTTGCGCGAAGTTCAGTTTAATCAGCTCTGAAAGAAACCGAAACGAATCTATATCCTTACACAGGATAACTCTATCATTTCTAAGAAACTGTTCTTCCTAGAGGTCCAGTGTTATACTAGAGGAAATGTAAATTTAACTAACTTTATTTATACTGGATATAGTTCTATCAATTCCGTACTGTTCTTCCCAGAGGTCCAGTGAGGGCCATCATTTATTGATCCACTGTTATACTAGTGGAGGAAATCTAAATTTAACTAACTTTATTTATACTGGATTTATCAATTCCATATATACTAGTTAAAAATATTATTGCCCAGCAAATAACTCTGAAATACTCCGAGGAAAAATTATTGCAGCAATATTATTGCCCAGCAAATAATGTAAATTTAACTAACTTTATTTATACTGGATATAGTTCTATCAATTCCATACTGTTCTTCCCAGAGGTCCAGTGAAGACCATAATTTATTGATCCACTGTTATACTAGAGGAAGTCTAATTTAACTAACTTTATACTGGATAGCTCTATCATTTCCTAACTGTTCTCCCTAGAGGTCCAGCGAGAGGATCATCATTTATTGATCCAGTGTTATACTTGAGGAAAAATCTGAATTTAGCTAACTTTAAAATATTCATTAATAATTCGTGAAGAAAATTCAAAAGAAATAATGTGTAATCAATGTTTGTAAATTGGATAAAGATTTGTCCTGATTTACATAAACTTCAGCTTTGATTTTCTCGGCTTAGACAATATTTATTTTTAAAATTTCTTCGCCAATGAACTCATAAGACGGGTTGTTTTTAAAGTATGTTAAAACATTCGCATTCGTTTTAACTAGTACTTATTTATACTGGATGTATCAATTCCATACTGCATGTTCTTTCCAGAGGTCCAGTGAGGATTATCATTTATTGATCCACTGTTATACTAGAGGAAGTCTAAATTTAAATAACTTTATTTATACTGGATAGCTCTATCAATTCCATACTGTTCTCCCTAGAGGCCCATCATGTCTAAATTTAACTGACTTTATTTATAGTTGATATAGCTCTATCACTTCCTAACTGTTCTCCCTATAGAGCCACAGTAAATGTCTTCTCTTACTGTATTGACCCAATGTTACTAAGACGCACGTCCTAACCAATTCTATATTGCTATATAATTATTCCATTTATACATCTGATATTTTCTGCCAATTATAATGTGCACTAAATTTTGTTGTTTCATGCTAAAAAGCGAGCGGAAAAACTATGAATTTGCAATTTTTTATGTGTCAATATCAGCTTTGAATACAGGAATTGCCGAGGTAATTGATTTGAATAGATGCTCAATCGTGGGAACAAAACAATCTGCGTAACATCAAAGTAGTCATCTTTGATCATCTATATCTGTGCCTGTTTATTAATCGTTAGCATTTGGGAACAATATCAAACGGAAAGAAAGTTGAAATGTTTGAATAACTGGAGCACCCGGAGAAAACCCACGACTAACCCACGACTTTCGGCAGAGTGACTCTTTCACTTTCATTTAAATTTTAGTCCAATGGACAATTTGCATGTTAGACTAAATTTTAATCTAAGTAAAGAGAAGGGAATCAAACACCACAGCTAAAAAGAACATCATGAAATTAGTAAAGTTGCAAAATTTGGTTGCGAAATGTTGTAAAGCTTGGAAAACATATATAGCCTTGCAAAGTTTGCAAATTTTGTATATGTTTGTATTACTTGTGGAAATTGTTACCAT